CCGGTACCAGGCATTGAACTCAGGACCTTGTGCCTTTAAGGCAGGCACAGTGCCACTGAGCTAAATCCCTGGCCCAAACCCAGGGTCTCTTGCATACTGGGCAAGTCCTCTACCATTGAACTCTACCCTCAGCCCCAACTCCATCTTTTCTTTTTTTCTTTTTTTTTTTTGGTACCAGGGATCGAACTCAGGTCCTTGCCCTTGCACAGCAGGCAGCGAAACCACCAAGCTAAATCCCCGGCCCCTAACTCCATCTTTTAAAGAGAATGTCAAAGGATTTGTGGATATATTTTTAACCATCAGAGTGGCAGAGCCAGACTTCAACCCCAGGCCTCCAAACTCATTCCACTTATGATACATGCGCCCCGGGCTGGCCCTGTGCTCCTTCCCACATTCTGGCCTCCCCTGGAGTCCTCCCTCCTCACTCGGCATCTATTTGTCCTCACCTCATCTTGAGGGCTTCATAGCAGAACTGTGGCTTACTGAAATGTCTCTCAGTTGTCAGAAGGGGACCCCAAATGTCACCCTTGCTGGGAACTCCCCTTGGCAACACACCTGAAGAGGTGAACACTGCGGTGCCTAGTGCACACCATGCACATTAAAACTCTTCTCTCCACGCCACATTTTATGACTATCCTCAAGAAACTCACACTTCCTTTGTGTAACCTGGGCTTTTTGAGGCTTTGATACAGGACCCGGCTTCTCTGATTCCAGCAGCGGACTGCAGCCTAATAAATGTGAGCATTGTGGCACTGAGAGTCAGAACTCCCGAAGAGTCTGCGGTAAAGACCCACGGGAAGGTGAGATGGACTTGGGGCCTCCAAAAGGCCTAAGTAGGGACAACTATTGTTCCCAGGCCATGAACTGTATGTTTAATCTTTTTTTTTTTTTTTTTCAGAATTTCATTATAAATACAACACCCCAGGACAGTATTACTTAAATCATAGCAGAAGGGGTACCTTTGTCCAGTTCTACTCTTTAGATGAAAATAAAAATTCTGCACCTCGTAAGTACAATCTCCTGCGTGATCCCATCTATGTGGGTAACCTTCTCCCTGTGTGGGAAACCCACAGGACACTGGCCACTGCTTCCTCTTGGAGAGCCCTGCCATCAACAATCTATGGCCAGGGTCTCCTGCACTTACCAGACACCTCCAAATTCAGCCCTGCACCTGGATGGCAAGAGGCTAAGCAGGGGCTGGGCATTATGAAAACCCAGGGTTAAAGAATTTGAATGTGTTTTAAGTGCTAAATGTGCTGTAAGTGCTTTAAGTGCAAGTCAGTAACACACCATAAATGAATGCTAGCTAGACAAATGACTGAATAATTGCCACTATTATTGTTATTTTTCACGATGGCCAAAACTTTAAATTTCTCCCTCCCAAAAGTCAGCATATAGAGAAATACTCCTTAGACATCATATTGCTAATTCTCAATGTAAAATTTGGCTATCTTTGAAAAAAAAAATCTCACAAACATTTATAAAAGTGACTAAGACATGGCTCCTCCCTGCAAAAGTTTCCAGTTGAGAGGAAGGGACTTATATTCAAATCAGGAAAGCACAAGGCAAAAATGTGAGCACTAAAAGCAAGGTCAAAGTGTGATATGGGAACATAAAGGAAGGAAGGATACACAGTACTTCCTGTTTCAGCCCTGAATGACAGTCATACTTAATTCCCTGACAGGGGCCATATCTTTCTTTCATCCCTTCAGAACTCCTTCCCTCTGGGGAGAGAGTACCAGGGAGAATGTTTCTCATCTTTCACAATTTCCAAGGCCCAAGACTAAAGAATGGTATTTACCTGAGTGATCTCAGTTGTGCCTCCCCTATCTACCTGCAGCTGACAAATCTATCAACTGTCAAAAAGTAACAGTCAGGGCCAGAGATTTAGCTCAGTGGTTTCACCGCCTGCTGCGCAAGCACAAGGACCTGAGTTTGATCCTCGGTACCAAAAGGAAAAAAAAGTAACAGTCACTAAGACTGCAGAAACCACAGGGAAAATTTCTTTATGATTTCCTCAGTCTTTGGGCCCATTATTCCAATACATGTGAGGAATGTAACTAAGTCACTGAAATGTGAACTTAGAAAAATGTATAGTGGCTAAGAGGGAGGCAGCTTTTCTTCACTGTTGATAAGGAACCTTCCAGCAATTGAAGCTGACAGAAATGGAATGGGCTATTGCAGGAGGCCGTGGGCACCATTTGGGAAGCAGTATGCTTTGACGTTGTAGATCTGGCCTAGAACTGGGCCCAATGGCCTTTGTCTCTTTTGGAGCTTCTATGTTTCCAATAAAACCTGAAGTTACATTTGGAGACTACCAAAGAATTAAGATTGAGCTTGTCAGTGCCTCTGTTCCTCATGGCTGAAGGCTAGGTGGTCAGCAGGACTAAATTTGGACTTTTTGGCTTCCAGCTTGCCTTCCATGTCTAAGGAACAATCTCTCCTAGTTTCCCTTGTCTGATGGGGCCGTCTAGAGGGGAGTGAAGCCTGGCTACAAGGCAGGAGACTTGGAGGGAGAAAGAGGAGAAGACAGAGAAGAGAGGGGGAAGATGGAAGAAGAAGTGGAGAAGAGGCCTTTGCAATAAAAAGGCAGATTTCCTGACCACTGAACTTGTCTCTCTTCCTTTTCCTGGTTTTCTTGTCTCCCATGGTGATTTTCCTGCAGTTTTCTTCTCTGTTTAGTCTGTATTTTCTGGAATTGCCCTAATAACACAGTTGTTAGTTTATGACTCTTAGAATCTTTGCTCCTAAAGTTGGAGAGGATTTCAGGAACCTATACCTAACCTCTTGGAAGTTGTTATCTGTCCATTTATATCAGATGAGGTAGCTGAGCCCACAGAAGTTGGACAGCACTCCAACAATGAGCACTCAGAGAATCTAAACTCCTGGCCTCTTTTCTGTTAATGAAACTCCTTTTAAATTGAATTTCTTTTCACGAATTTAGAATAGTTGATAGAAAATTCCTTGTTTTCTGTTACCTTTCTTACACAATTATCAAAATTTTAGAAAATATTTAATTCATACTGAGAAAGAAATGATATGTATCCACCATCTAGGGATTATTTTTGGTGCTCTGAATTTAATTATAGCTAACATTTTTCAGCTTGTTCAAAACCAAAACAGCTATGTTCCCAGAGAGTGAATTCACAATCCTCTCAAGATAAATGTGAGCCTGCACTAGGAAAGTAAGTATTCATTTATGATTAGTAGTAATAACAAACTGGTTGTTGTTGATCAGGTATAAATAATGTGCTTATTTGTGCATTACTGACCCAAGGTCACCTAGATCATAAATAGCAGAGCCATAATTTTAACCAAGCCCTTTCTAATACTTCAGTTATTCACTTATTCAACAAACATCTGAGTGTCAAATATAGGCTATTGTGCGAAGTATTGAGGATCCAATGACAAAGTCAACCACTCTGCCCTCATGGAGCTTGCTTTTTTGATAGAAGAGCAAAGTGATCTTTGCAAGTGTCAAGAAGGGAACATATAGAGTACTACTGACCTACTTTGGGGGTTCGCAGAAGCTGAGCTCCAATGCCTAAGTATGAATGAATCAGAGAGGAGACATGAGCATAGGAATAAAGGACATGCAGTCTAAGAAGCTTCCTGAAGGGGGAAGGTCAGGAACGGAGTGGCTGGAGCCCATAGGGAGGGCAGAGGATGAAGCTGGTGAGGTCAGATGGATGGGCAAGGCCAGCTGTGTAGGGGCTTGTCAGCTACAGGAAGGACTTCAGACTCTTAGGAATAATGGGAAGCCAAGGAATTTTAATATCAGGGAGTTTTGTAGTGTTTTAAAAGAGCACTCTAGCTATTGAGGAATGGGAAATGGACTAGAGAAGCCAAAGTAGGAGATCAGCATAGCAGAGTAAATAAACAGTTCAGGCTCTACAATCAGACTCCTTTAGACTGAATCCACTACACACTACCATAGCACAGTGTAGTTAAAAATGTGACCTTTGGATACTTCTTGGGTTTACATCTTTGGCTCCTGGGCATGTTACCCCTATGTCAAATGGGAGTAAAACAGTTCCAAATTCATTGGGAACTGAGTCAATACATAAAAGTACTGAGAATGGAACTTGGCTCATAACAAATGCTTGGCAAGTCATGGCTGTTATCAATACCGTTGAAAGTGGTGACTGATTGGATATTGGGAGAGGAGTCTGAAGCCCTTGCTCTTCTCACGGGACCACACTACCACACCATGCCTATTTTTTTATTACATAGGGCCCCTGATGCAGAATCATCTCTCACTTTGAGGAGAGATCAATGTACTAAACGGAAGATCTAATTAATGGTAGTGTAGTAGAGGCCGAGGGATTAAGGGAGGCTCTGAAGTCACAGTATTGGAAGTGAGACTTTCTGAAGATGACACTGCTCACAAGTGTATGTAGCAAAATAATTTTAGCAGAGGGATAAAGTGAAGGTAGCTGCATGATAGACCTGCAAACAGGCAAGTACTTGTGGCAGCCCTTAGGGCTAACTACTCATGGTTGTGAAAAGCTTAACTCCCAGGATTCACAAAGACTATGTGACTAGACCCCCTACAGCTATGCGGTGTACAATCTGGACAACTCAGTGGCCCTGGTGACTCCCCCCACACCAAGACAGAGTTGTAGTTACGGGGTAGTCTAGGGGAGCCTGCTCACCTAAAGGAGCTTCTATTTTTGCTTTGTAAGTTCACTGGTCCTAGAATGAGCTCAACCCAAAATGCTTACAACTGACAGTTTTTTGTGTACATTTATTTTATAAACAGTGCAAAACAGCATGTTGGCCCCCAAATAATGAAAAATAAATAAAAGTTGTTGTTGGGAGTCTTGCCTTTTTTGTTGCTAAGAAAAAGACCCATTCTGGAAGGACATACCATCTTGGTCATGGCAACAACCTTATTTATTTATTTTGGTACCAGGGATCAAACTCAGGACCTTGTGCTTGTGAGGCAGGCAGCAGCACCACTGAGCTAAACCCCTGGCAACAACCTCATTTTGAAGCTCAGCCCCATAGGCCTATGAGAGCTATGAAAAGGCTGTGTGTGCTTGAGTCCAGACACCTGATCAGACAGAGCCACATGAGCTGAGCTGAACAGGAGGGTGTGCTTGAGGGTGCTTTACACAGGACCAACATGCTTTTGCTTTCCAGAAGAAATCTAAAGACTTTTATGACCTGCAGCGCAGATCCTGCAATCCTCCCTCCCCATTTCCAGTCCTGCAAGATTTCTGGAAGCAAATCCTTGTGTGACTTCAATAGCATTGAAAAAACAGAATCTAAGGTGAGGACTTAGAAAAAAAACTTAGAGAATCCTTGCAGCTTATATGTTTGGTTTGAAGGACCACAAACTGCTAGCTTTTAAGTCCTGAAAGTCTGGAATTAAGAAAATGCTCTGATAAAAACAATTTGTGCTCGGCATTAACATAAAGCCTTAGCAGCCACATGGTTTGTATTATTCCTAAATTGGTTTCAAAGGAAATGGCCTGGAGAAAGTGTTCTGTGGGTGGTGCCTCAGCTGTAGGATTTCCCCGGCCCAGGCTTAGAGGCCTGGAGTCTGTTCCAGTGACTGTGGTTAGGGCTGCCAGCGGTTTCCTATTTGGAACCACTAACACAGATCCCCAGGTCACTGTCAAATGTTTCCACACACATGCACTGTGTTCCTGCATGCCCTGTCCATGCTTATGGTCCCCAAACCCCCTTCAGTGTCCCCTAAGTTTTTTCTCTGCAGTAGACAAACATCCCAGCAGGTTGCTGACCTCACCCTCTGATTCATGCTCATCAATCACGTGCTGATCTTTTTTCTCTCCCTTTCCCTAACACATACATTCCATCTCAGACTGGTTTCCTAGGAAACTAATCCTCACAAACAGAAATAAACTGTGGAAAAAAGAGTGCTCCAAAAAATCCCATCTTGCAATGTTTAATAATGCGAGAAACCAATTATCAGAAACATTAGTAAGTTTGTGTAACTAAAATATGTGGACTTTTCCTCTGTAGATTTTAAACTCGGCCTTGGATCATGCCCTAAAGACAGCAACCATTTTGAAAGACACTACTGATCAAATGATAAAAGCAATTGCAGAAGACCTTGCCAAAGCACAGAGATGGAGGAATTGACTGAAATACTAGTTTGTCCTAAGGCAACCAAGGTTAAAAAGAAAAAAATATATGAAGAAAACTTGACCAACACAAAAGTATTTCACTTGTTACACAATTTGAAAGATGTCTTTTCAGAGGAAATACTAAAACCATAAAAGGGTAACACAAAGTATTTAAATGGAAAAAAAAGGATTTGATTCTTAAAACCAAAAGAAACCAAACCAAAACAATAAAGTTTACTTTTACCTATTACTCTGGGGAAAATTAAAGAACTACTCCCATACATTATTGGTGAAGTATAAATCGATGGAAACTTTTTGGAAGAAAATTTGTTAACAGAGATGTTCTTTGGCTTGAGATTTATATCCCAATGAACCCATAGTAAGTCGAAAATACTTTAAGTTGAAAATTCATTGAATAAACCTAACCTACTTCACATCATTGCTCAGCAAAACACTTAAGTGTCTGTTTCCTGTGTGACTTCATGGCTGTGGGAGCTGTGGGTGGCTGCCAGTGCCCAGCATCAGACGAGTATTATCTTCTGACCAGTGAATCCACCACTAGGAATTCACAGATGACTTAGTATTCCACTACATGTAGAAGAAGGGTCACTGTAACACTGATAGTAATACCCTCAAGGGAAACTAATCTTAAATACCCAGTATAAGGATTAGTAAATAATACTCTGCAACCAGTGATAAGAATGAGGCAGATTATCTATAAGACATTGAATACAAAAATACCTAACAATATACTCAGTGTGTCCTAACTTGTGTATATTTTATTATAGGGCATATATATTTTCTGAAAAGTTGCACAGAAATCTTAAAGAGACCTCTAGGAAATAAAACTGGGGGTTTTGAGAGAGGATGAATTTCAACTTTTCTCTTATTTTACTGTATGACATTCTTACAATATGATATTATAAAATTATATTTAAAGATCTCTTGAAATAATGTAAAAACTATAGACCTAGATTAATGAAATTTTAGAAAAAGAGAATCCATTAAAACTGTGTATTGGGATTAAGTTTGTAACATTCTCCATAGAATGCCAGAGCAGGCTTTTGATTTAGTCTTTTAAAAATCATTATTTCCTTAATGACAGCAGCAGATGACTGGTTCTTTCCCTCTCTCCTGAGGCCTCCTAACTCCGACACTCTCAACAAAAGGTTTCCCAACCCCCAGCTTTTGCCTCTGCAGTGAGGAGGGAGCTGAATGTATTCCCATTTTAGATTTTTGTGCCAACCAAGGCAGCTGCTATTTGTCTAGGTGGCTAGAGAATAGACTATTTTTAACTTTGGGCTTTGAAATTGGTTTAAAGGATCTGAGAAGAGATAATGCAGAGGTCAGCTGGGAGGTAACTCTGACTTTGTGGCTAAATTTACATTAGTCCGTGGCACTATAAGGAAGACAGCAAAGGCAGTGGTCTAAGACAAAAGGGTGCTTAAACTGTATATATTCTGTTACATAAAATTTGTGCAAGGCCATTTTTGTACTGAGCTTCTGCACTACACTCCAAGAGACCATATCAAACCAGAATGAAGTCACTCATGCTAAGTGCAATGTAGTCAAACCTTTATAGAAACCTGCGAAGTGTAATCACTTTTTTGATTTAAAAACACGGTCCATCTCTGCCTTATTAAACCATATTCTAAATGTAATTTTATATTTCCTTGATGATTGGGGATCATTATGAGCAACCAGTGCAAAGGATTAAACCAAGAAATGAAATAGGACCATGCCTTTAAGGGGTTCTGGAAAAGTGCCAGACTGATTTAAAAGGATAATTTCACGCTTACTGATTCTGTAGTGTTTGCTGTCTCCTCCCTCATACATTTATGTCAATTCCTGTCCAGTAATAAACCAGAAAAACCAGCTTAAGTAAAATTGTATCCATGATGCTGTGAGTCAGGGGACTCAGCACTGCCTGAGGGCAGAGGTGGTGCAAACAAACATCTAGCAGCCTGCACAGTGCAGAGGCCTTTGCTGGAAGTTGCCAGAAGCAACAGCAGGATACAGGATTGTTGTTGGTAGAAGGGTTTTTACCTCTTTTTTTAGAAGAAAGTTCTAGCCATCCACGTTAATGAACTATTAGGTTATATAAAAGAAAACCTTTTATCATTCTTTATATTGCAATTTTATTAATGAATTATTCATTATTATTATTATTAATAGATCTAATTCATACTAAATATAAATGCTTATTTACATTTAATATTCAAAACAATTGTTTTGGTAGTCATTTTACTGTATACAGGAGGAAGATATGTTTTGTTTCTTTGATCTCAGAAGAAATCTATTAAAAAAAAGAAATGTTTGCATTGCATCCTGATAGGACTCACAAAAGGTATAAAATATGGAGATATCACATCTTACGCCAATAAACCACCAGAATCCAGGCCTTTAGAGCTCAAATCTAAGAATTTTGTATCACTGTGAACTGCTGCTGTGAGCCAGGGCCAGTAGAAGACAAGGGTCTAGGAATAGGATTAATAAAGATATTTTTCTTAGTTTTTGCTAATACTGTATGGTTGAACATTGCGAACCCACTTCATTTCAAATAAATTTCAACAGAAAGCAAAAACATGCTTAAGAGATGGAATAAATGATTTCAGTTAGTTGTAGCAACAAAACCACCTTGTTCAGTCTTGATATCAGAAGCTGTCACTGCTAATACTCTGGGGGGAAATCAGCATATATTAAGCATTTTATGAGGTGATTTTCTATCTTGAAATTCACTAAGACATTTAATAAACAAAATTTCTCAGATATATGTATATATATTTATTTATATACACACATGAGAAAGGACTCAAAGGATATGATGATGTCAGTGTGACAGGGCAAAGTGGTCACTGGAGAGTTAAGTGATGGAATGAACTGGCCAGTCTTTATGGTCATCAAGCTCTTAGTTCCATTTATCACAGGTCCCTGGATTAGTCTAGATATTCCACACATGTCCTAATCCTGAGCAGAGAGTATCCAAGGCACTCAAGGAGTTCAGATAAAAATGAAGACATCATCAGTAGGCGATTTAGTTCAATGGTTCTGCTGCCTGCCTCGAAAGTGAAAGTTTCCCAGGTTTGATTCCCGGTACAAAAAAAAAAAAAAATGAAGACATCAAATATCAAATTTCAGCGGAGATGTACTATTCTAAAGAGGGATTCTGAAGGTTATAAAGATTTAGACAAAAAAGACATCCCACATTCCTGAATATCAAGTTTCAATATTATAAAGATGTCATTTTTTTCCAGCGCTGTAGCTAGAGTTCATGCTGCTCAGGGCAGTCCTTCAATTTGCTGCCCTCCAAACTATCTGAAGATGTTAACCTACTTAAATAGAAAATTTAAATGACTCACAGAGAAAAACATTCGTATTTTGATTACTTGAATCTTTGCTGCAATGCTACCAAAAAAAATGTGCTGCCAGGGAAGGACCACCCCCTCTGTTCCTGCCTCCCCTCACCAGCTATGACACTGATTTTTCTCCCCTAAATTAAACTAAAATTTAATGAAGATATCAAAATAACCTTTTATGGGAACACACAGAATGATACTAACATTCATCTACAAAAATCCAGTAGCCAGGAAGTTTGGGAAGAATGTTAGTAATTTAGGTTTGGGTGAGCTAAGGATTACTTCTTCTGCGTATTAAAACATATTACAAATTAAAACAGACAAGAGGAAATACAAATTGGTCAATAAAATAAAATCTAGAAATAGACCCATAGAATACAAATGGAAATCTAGTCTATGATAAAGGTGGTATTTCAGATTAGCTGGGGAAACAGAGATTACCCAATAAAACTGGTACAATAACTGGCTGTTCAGAAAAGAAAAAGGTGAGATCACAAATTCCACATCAGTCAGGGTTTTATACAGGAAATAAACTCCTCTGGATATTCTGAGCAAGAAAGGGCTTTAATGTGATTAGGTCCTTACAAAACCTCTGAGAAGTTAGAATATCAAGACACTGAAAGCCAAGGGCATATCCACCGGTGATCCGGAGGGCACGACCGAGGGCTGCCATCGCTACAGCACTGCCTCAGACCCACAATGCCTTGGGCAAGACACTACAACTCGAGTCCAATTGTTACACACAACTCCTCTCTGCACTGGCACAGCCTCAGAAGATGCCCTCTGCCTTTTTATTTTCCAAATCTTGACCAAATGCATACTACTGACAGAATTTAAGCTGGTTAAAACCCTAGAGTCTCCAAAACTTTACTCTCTGCTTTTTAATCCCCTGGGGTATGGGGTGGGGAGGCATGGGATAAATATATGCCAAGTGCTAAGAGACAGCGTCTGATGTTAAAATTGATTCCACAGGGGTGAAAGCTGCTTGTGAAGGGTGAAGGGCCAGGGATTTAGCTCAGTGATTTCGCCGCCTGCTGCGCAAGTGCAAGGACCCAAGTTCGATCCCCGGTACCAAAAAAAAAAAAAAAAAAGAAAGAAAGTTACTTGTGAAAAACCGAGCCTATCAAAACATTTTACAAGAAACCGTAGGTAAATTTATAATTTTAGTGCACACAGGTATTTCTAAATGTAGTATGAAATTATAAAGCCAAAAAGGAAAAGTGATGTATATATCTATATTTAAAAAGCAGACATAAGAGTGTAGCTCAGCAGTAAAGTGCTGGCTTAGCTTGAGTGAAGCCCTGGCTTCAATCCCCAGCACCAATAAATAAATAATAGTAGTGATATCTGTCAGTATTTTAAAATCCTATGACTAGCTACGTCACTGCTAGGATTTATATTACAGAAATATTTGTATAAGTCTACAAAAGTATGTACCCAAGTAATACAGAATTATTTGTCAGAACAAAACTCTGAACACGAGTGATATATAAAATTATGGTCCACTAAATGACATAACACTACAAGGTCAAGTAAAGGAGAGATCTGAAAAGAAGGTGTTACTTTTGTATAACACAAACTCATGTGCAGATATAGCCTTAAATTATATAACTTTATACAAATTCATTACCCTGTTTTTGAAAAAGTCATTAAGAGTTCTCTTGATTGGAACTATGGTGCCTTCTGTTTCTTTTTTTTTTTTTGGTACCGGGGATTGAACTCGGGACCTTGCACTTACGAGGCAGGTGCTGGAACCACTGAGCTAAAATCCCCAGCCCCCTTCTGTTTCTTTGTAACTCTGATTTAGAACTTTTAAACTTTTCAACTTTCCCCTCTTACCCAGAAAAAACAAACAAACAGATAATTTCTGTAACTATATTTTTATTTTCTCTAAGAATGTTGAAGATTTTTGGTTTTGTAATTTAAACATACATAATTTCAAAGTTATACAAAACTGTATTCTTTAGGAGTATCTAGCAAGCTAGTGTACATTGTGAAATCACTATTAATGATTGAATTATTTTACATTTTAAAGAAATCATGAATTTCAGCTGCCAAAAATCTGTATTTATAGGAAATTCTATCATAGATACACATTTACAGTTTTTTTATAAGCTCTTCATTTAAAATCATTCTTTCCCCAAAACTATACTTCAGCATGAGACAGGTAAGTATCTAACAAGTAATCACTATGTACACAGGTGGCTGTGAAAGATTACCCATAACTCTAATATATTCTGCTCCAAAGGCAAAAAATTTTTGTTTAGAAAGCACTTGAATATTCATCATTTATAAAGCAGCATCAGTATTTAAATTATTAAAATGGCAATTTCAATAATACATAATCATAAGCAGTCACTTAAGAAATGTATTTGAAAAGCCATTATT